AAAGAAGAAACTTAAAGGGAAATTAGAAATATTTTGAGACAAATGGAAAGTACCAAGAGATACCAATAAATACCTACCTCACAAAAGAAAAATCTCAAATAACCTAAATTTACACCTCAAGGAACTAGAAAAAGAGCAAACTAAGATCCACGTTAGCAGAAGGAAAGAAAAAACTGAAGGTCAGAGCATAAATAAATAAAATTAGAAAATAGAAAAACAGAAAAAAATAGATGAAACTAAGGTGGTTTTTGAAAAGATAAAACAATATCGACAAACCCTTAGCAAGATTAAGAAATAAAAAAGAAAGACTCAAATAAATAAAGTGATAAATAATAGAAAAGACATTACAACAGATGTCACAGAAATAAAAAAAATATTAGATACTATTATGAACAATTATATACCAATAAATTGGACAACTGAGAAAAAATGGATAAATTCCTAGAAACATACAATCTACCAAGACGGAACTGTGAAGAAATTGAAAGCTTGAACAGACCAATAATAAATAAGGAGGTTGAATCAGTAACCAAACACCTCTCAGCAAAGAAAAACTCAGGGCCAGGTCTTCACAAGCGATTCTACCCAACATTTGAAGAAGCATTAATACCAATCCTTCTTAAACTCTTCCAAAAATGGAAGAAAGAACACTTCCAAACTCATTTTCTGAAGCCAGCATTACCCTGACACCAAGGCCAGACAAAAAATTAGAAACAGAGCTACCAGATGACCCAGCAATCCCACTTCTGTGTATACACACAAAGGAATTGAAGTCAGGATCTGAAAGAGGTATCTGCACTCCGTGTTCACTGCAGCATTGTTCACAATAGCCAAAACATGGAAGCAACCTAAATGTGCCTTGCCTGATGAACGGCTAAAGAAAATGTGGTATATACACAAAATGGGATATTATCCAGCCTTTAAAGAAAGAAGGAAATTCTGCCATTTGCAACAATATGGATGGACATTATCCTAAGAGAAGCCAGACACAGAAGGACAAATACTACATAGTACCACTTATATGAGGAATCTAAGACGGCCAAAACCTTAGAAGAGAGTAGAAGGGTGGTTGCTCGGGGCTGGGGAGGGGGGAAACGGGGAGGTGATGGTCAAAGGGTACAAAGTGTCAGGTACCCAAGATGAGTAAGTTCTACAGATCCGCACGCACGGTGCCTGTGGTTCTTAATGCCATGTTATATACTTAGAGCTTGGCTAAGAGGGTAGATCTCCCGTTAAGTGTTCTTATCACAATAATAAATAGCGAGGGTGAAGGAAACTTGGACCTGATGGATGTATTTATGGCATAGACTGGTGATGGTTTCACAGATGCATGCTTATCTCCGAAGTCATCGGGTTGTATACATTAAATAGTTACAGCTTTTTCTATGTCAATTGTACATCAACATGGTGGTTTAAAAAAAGTGAATAGAATCTGATTTGGTCTAGGGAGCCGAAGGCCACATGGACAAAGCTACTGGGACACATTTATAATCCACGTTAAGTGAGCAAAGCTGGCAGAGAATAATACAAACTGTGTCATTTTGCCTATAGAAAAAAATAGGAAACATGCAAAAATATTACAGCAATTACCTCCAGATGGTGGGATAACAGATGATTTTTACGTGTTTTTCTTAAGTTTCCTGTGTTTCTTCGCACAGGAAGAACAATGGAGCTGACTTCAGAATCTGAATTTGTATCGGTCACAGTGATTCGTTACAGATGACAGAATCCACTTTTTGTGGTTTGAGCAGAGGGGGCTTATTCCTGGGTGTTAAGACTGAGATTCCAGGACTACCAGGGAACAAAGAGTGGAGGCCCCATAGCCAGGTACAACACAGCCTAGACAATCCCCTGACTCCACCTAAGACGGTTGCTATGGAAACCCCAATGTCTGTGATGCTCAGGCCCAGACACCGGGGCTGCTGCTGTGGAAGAACGAGACCCCTCTGTTCCCGGCCATCCAGGAGCCCCATCCCTCCACCACCCTGTGTTGCTCACTTCCGCCTTTTAGATCGCAGGCAGGCTTCTGTCCAGAGGAGCTGAGGCCACCTGCAGAACCCTAGTTGCACGGGTGTCTGGGAAATATAGATTTCAGGTTTTCCAGAGACAAAAGGCATGGAAAGAGGGGGTGGCACACAGGTTGAATGACTCAGTCTGCAGGATCCACTACAGAAGCAAGGCAAGGGTGACAAGACGATCACATGTACCCTTGACCTTCTGAAGTCCATACGGTGCGTCAGTTATCCATGGTCTTATGATAAGGACAGCAGGAGGCTCTCTCTCAGTCCAGGGAGTGCTGGCTGCCAGAGCCCCTCGCCCTGGCCTTCTCTCACTTCCAAATGCCAGCACCTCTCTGCTTGGGGACTTCTGCTGCTGGAGCCCCCCTTGGCCTCCTTGGGGCAGGCTGCAGTGTGGAGGCTTACGTCCCAAGGAGCAGACTCAGCCAGGACCCCAGCCGCCTCTCTGCACTGGCTCCCAGGCTCCCTAGTGGGCCGATTCCTGTTGCCCACAGTAGGGGGATCCTCTAGTGGGGGCATCCTGTATTGGGGGATCCTGCAGTAGTGGAATCCTCTAGTGGGGGCTCCACAGCGGCAGGCAGCTTGATAACAGTCATAATTAGTCACCTTCTCTTCCTCTTCTCACTTCCCTACACCCTTGCCTTCACCTCCAAATGAACTCCTTGTGCCAGAATCTGTATCTCCAGGTGTGGCTAGGGCAGCCCAAACTAAGGCATCTCTGGCCTGAGCACGTGTCCATGTAAAGCCTCAACCTGATTCTTTACGACCTTCTGGGGACAGGGCCCTGGGGGTGGGTTAAGGGCTATGAGGCTGCTTCTGTGACCTTGCATCCATTCACACCAGTTTGGAAAGTCATCTTGTTCTTGGTTCTCATCCTTCTGGGCAGGAAACTAGAGGGCTCCGGGATGCTCCCTCCGCCTGCTGCCCTGTCCACACTGATGCCGCCGGAGTTCTGCCCACCCCCTCTCTGCGTCATGCATTACTCCTCTGCCGTAGGACCAGCAAGGGTGTCCTCTGAACGCACCATCCTTGGTTTAAATGTGATTCTGCTATTAGCATGTGAGGTTGGGCCAACTCCGTCATGGGTGCAGGCAGCAAACACTTCCCTGGAGCCTGCCCAGTGCCAGGCCCTGCATCACCCACCACAGAAGTCACCCTTCCCTCCAGCCCCGCAGAGTTGCCCACGAGCACCGCCCAGTGGCAGGGAGCTCACATCCTCGGTTACACCTTCAGGCAGCTGGTGAGAGAAGCAGCTTTATCCATCAACCCCTCCGGGCCGGGTGTCTGACTTGTCTCCTTCCACATTCTTGGGGCTAATTGTTCCTGTCACCCTTCATCCACAGATGAGGCTCCTGGAGGTTGAGTGACATTCTGGGGTCGCTTGGCAGGCAGTAAGGGGAGGGACTGGGTAGGGACCAGGAAGGCCTGCTCAGGGTCCTTTCCTGTTCCCTGGGGCGTCCTGGCCGCTCAGACACAGGACGTCCCAGGACACAGGGCTCCTGGCACTGCTGCGTCACTGCCCCTCAGCCGTTTAGCTGGAGCCTCTGCCAGTCTTAGCACTGGGGACCCTGCGGTGCGCCTAACACACTCCTAGTCCTCGTGGAGGAAGAGAGAGCAGTAAGCAGACGAAGACAAGGTCGCTCCCAGGGCCCTGAGGGGTGGGAAGGCTGGAGGAGGAACCGCGCATCCCCCGTCCTGAGAACTGTCCTGAGGACGGCTGTGGAGAGTCTCCAGCTGACAGGGGGCGGGCTGGCCTTGTCACTGGCCCACGACAGGCAGAGAGCACAGGGTCTGCGGGCCACCCTGGTTTTCATCACCTGCCAGCATCCGGGCACTGAGGCCCTGCTGGTGCGTGCTGATGCCCACCTGGAATTGCTGGGCAGGGAGTCCAGGGTCCTTCTGGAAAAGGGGTCTACACTCAGGCAACTGGGAGCTACCTGCTGGTCACTCACTTGCTTCCAGTGAGGTCGGGGAGCGGGGTGCTGCCAGGGAGCCCAGGTTTGTCCACCTGTGACAAGGGGCCTGGGTGTTTGAGGAGCATCTGGGGGCTCTGTCCCCCTTTTAAAAATAGGGCCCAGTTTTAGGGGGCCCTGTCTCACCACTTTGCTGAACAATTGTTCATTTTTTCCATTAAACCTTGATGTACACACGGGACATACAAAGCTTATCTACACACGTGTGTGTGTGTGCGCTGCACAGTTTAAAGCTCCACTACAGTGCAGACACGGGTGTTGACCCCTGAGTCAGTAAACGGGCATTTCCAGTGCGGCCCTCCTGCAAACAGCCCTCTCCCTGGGGTGACGGTGCCCTGACATTTGTGACGATCCTGGCCCTGCTTGGCCTCATCGTCTGACTCCCAGGAGGGCACCTCTCAGCCGACGCGCTGGGTTGGCCTGTGTTACTTCATTCACATGGACTGTGACACGTGCCCTCTTTGGGGACTGGCTGCCTGGGAGACTCTCCCTGCTGCGGGCAGAGCTGTAACTTTTACCCTTTGACCAACCTCTCCCCATTTCTCCCACCCCATGTGACTTGATTATTGCTGGAAAGATGAGTTTAGAACTGACAATTTCCCTGCTAAGCTGACAAGCGTAAAAGCTTAATTTGAAAACAAACCCAATTCCACTCACGGTGCAAAGGCAGAGACTGGGACTTGGTCAAGCCTGGGCCTGAGCCCTCAGTCTGGGGAGACGGACAGTTAGGACCTCACAGGTGTCTGGTCCTGTCCACGTGACTTTTATACACTCTCCACCCTGATGGAGCCTGTGATTTTATGGGAAAATGAGTTCTAAAAATTAAATTATTAAACTTGACGATACTGTAAAAAGGCGTACAGTTTACTTATCCTTCATTTGTTTACTCTGTCTGCAAAGTGTCTCGTAGGCTGGTTTAAAATAGAATGTTTAGTAGAAAATTTGAGGTTCAGTAAGGCCAGCAGGTCAGGAGACACCTGCCACTGAAAAGAGAGTTTCTACTCACAGTCCTGGAGGAGAGGGAGGACGCACCACGCAGGGAGCATGGGGAGGGCAGGAGGTGGAGGAGCCCAGAGCCGTGGACGGACAGACAGACGGACAGGAGCCTTCATCGCAGCTTCTGTGGAGGGAACGACAAGCAGGGTGAACAGGCTGAGGACCGGCCAGGCTGAGCAACTTCATGGGCTCTGGGCTGTAGGGGCCCCCAGCGGCCTGGAACCTGACCCTGGGGGAGCAGGGCAGGTGGACAGGGGCTCAGAGCATGAGTCCAACACAGGAGATGTTTGGTTTGTATTTGAAAAGTGGGTGCTGGGGGACTTCCCTGGCGGTCCAGTGGTCAGGACTTGGCGCTCTATCTGCCGAGGGCCTGGGTTTGCTCCCTGGTTGGGGAACTAAGATCCTGCAAGCCGCGAGATGCAGCCAAAAAAAAACCCCCAAAAAACTGGGCCCTAAAAGGACTCCTCCTGCGGGTGGGCAGGGCCTGACAAGGGGGGCAGGAGGCCAAGTTGAGGTGACACAGAACAGGGGGTATCCTGCAAAAACAAAGCACCAAGTTTACAGAAGGTAGAAACACGGTCTGTTCAGGCTCAGCTCAAATGTCACCTCCTCAGAGGAGCCGTTCCTGCCTGCACAGTCTACACGGACAGCCTCCCCAGCCCTCAGCCACTTCATTCCTGCACAGTGCTCAGGGCTGGCCCCTGGCTGTGCACGCAGAAGAAGGGCCCTCACAGGGGCCACAGGCCCCGCATGACCTGGTCTCCCATCTCTCCTCCCCCCACCCTGCCCTCCTGACTTCCCCGAGTCTTGCATGTCCCCACAGCACGTGACCTTCTAACAGGCCGTGTGCTCACTGAGTGCCTCCGTCAGTGCTGGGCCCACTGCCCAGGTCACCGCGGGCACACAGGGGGCTCAGCAAGCAGTGAATCAACGGCTCTTACCATCACTGCCTGGAACGTTCTTGTCTGTGGCCTCAGCGTCCACACACCCAGTGCACGTTCAGTGAGGCCTTACTATGTGCTGGGCAGGCTCCAGACACCTGGTCTCCATTCTCATGCAGCAGACAGCCTGGGGGCGTGAGACAGAGAAAAATAAGTAAAATACAGGCAAAGTCAGGCAGTGAGATGTTCCATGGAGAAAAACAAAGCCAGGCAGGACGTTGGAGTGAAGTCCTGGAGGTGTTTAGGGAGCAAGCGATGCAGAGGGAGAGAGTTCCCAGCTGAGGCTATGGCCAGTTCAAGGGCCCTGAGGCCACAGTGGGCTGCAGATGCAGAGTCTTAGTTTTCCGTGTGGATTCTTAGTTTTCTCTCCAGTCTGTATGTGGCTTTTATTTACAATCCTTGGTTTCACCTTTCTTCCTAATTAACCTGAGTCTGGGTCACATCTGTTGAGTTTAGCAAATTCTATCCCACTGATTTAAAGTGGAAACGGGTGGAGGACGAGGGGAAGATGGCGGAAGAGTAAGACACAGAGATCACCTTCCTCCCCACAGATACACCAGAAATACATCTACACGTGGAACAACTCCTACAGAACACCTACTGAACGCTGGCAGAAGACCTCAGACCTCCCAAATGGCAAGAAACTCCCCACATACCTGGGTAGGGCAAAAAAAAAAAGAAAAAACAGAGACAAAAGAATAGGGACGCGTCCTGCACCAGTGGGAGGGAGCTCTGAAGGACGAAAGCTTTCCACACACTAGGAAGCCCCTTCACTGGCGGAGACTGCGGGTGGCGGAGTGGGGAAAGCTTCGGAGCCGCGCAGGAGAGCGCAGCAACAAGGCTCCGGAGGGCAAAGCAGAGAGATTCCCGCACAGAGGATCAGGGCCGACCGGCACTCACCAGCCCGAGAGGCTTGTCTGCTCACCCGCCGGGGCGGGCGGGGCTGGGACCTGAGGCTCGGGCTTCGGTCGGAGCGCAGGGAGAGGACTGGGGTTGGCGGCGTGAACACAGCCTGAAGGGGGTTAGTGCGCCACGGCTAGCCGGGAGGGAGTCCGGGGAAAAGTCTGGACCTGCCGAAGAGGCAAGAGACTTTTTCTTCCCTCTTTGTTTCCTGGTGCGCGAGGAGAGGGGATTAAGAGCGCTGCTTAAAGGAGCTCCAGAGACGGGCGCGAGCCGCGGCTAAAAGCGCGGACCCCAGAGACGGGCAGGAGACGCTAAGGCTGCTGCTGCTGCCACCAAGCCTGTGTGCGAGCACAGGTTACTATCCACACCCCGCTTCCGGGGAGGCTGTGCAGCCAGCCACGCCAGGGTCCCGGGATCCAGGGACAACTTACGCGGGAGAACGCACGGCGCGCCTCAGGCTGGTGCAACGTCACGCCGGCCTCTGCCGCCGCAGGCTCGCCCCGCACTCCGCGCCCCTCCCTCCCCCCGGGCGTGAGTGAGCCAGAGCCCCGGAAGCAGCAGCTCCTTTAACCCCGTCCTGTCTGAGCGAAGAACAGACGCCCTCCAGAGACCTACACGCAGAGGCGGGGCCAAATCCAAAGCTGAGCCCCGGCAGCTGTGCGAACAAAGAAGACAAAGGGAAATCTCTCTCAGTAGCCTCAGGAGCAGCGGATTAAAGCTCCACAATCAACTTGATATACCCTGCATCTGTGTAATACATGAATAGACAGCGAATCATCCCAAACTGAGGAGGTGGACTTTGAGAGCAAGATTTACGATTTTTTCCTTTTCCTCTTTTTGTGAGTGTGTATGTGTATGCTTCTGTGTGAGATTTTCTCTGTATAGCTTTGCTTCCACCATCTGTCCTAGGGGTCTATCCATCCGTTGTTTTTTTTTTAAATTTTTTTCTTAATTATTTTTTTTAATAACTTTATTTTATTTAATCTTACTTTATTTTATTTTACTTTATCTTCTTTCTTTCTTTCCTTCCTTCCCTCCTTTAGACAACGAATCATCCCAAATTGAGGAGGTGGACTTTGAGAGCAAGATTTATGATTTTCTCCCCTTTTCGTCTTTTTGTGTGTATGTGTATGCCTCTGTGTGAGATTTTGTCTGTACAGCTTTGCTTCCACCATTTGGCCTAGGGTTCTATCCGTCCGTTTTTTTCTTAATAATTTTTATTTTAATAATTTTATTTTACTTTATATTCTTTCTTTTTTCCTTCCTTCCCTCCTTCTTTCCTTCTTCCTTCCTTCCTTCCTCCCTCCCTCCCTCCATCCCTCCCTTCTTTTCTTTCTTTCTCTCTTTCTTCCTTTCCTTCTACTTCTACTAATTCTTTCTTTCTACTTTTTCTCCCTTTTATTCTGAGCCGGGTGGATGAAAGGCTCTTGGTGCTGCAGCCAGGAGTCAGTGCTGTGCCTCTGAGGTGGGAGAGCCAACTTCAGGACACTGATCCACAAAAGACCTCCCAGCTCCACATAATATCAAACGGCAAAAATCTCCCAGAGATCTCCATCTCAACACCAGCACCCAGCTTCACTCAACGACCAGCAAGCTACAGTGCTGGACACCCTATGCCAAACAACTAGCAAGACAGGAACACAACCCCACCCATTAGCAGAGAGGCTGCCTAAAATCATAATAAGGCCACAGACACCCCAAAACACACCACCAGACGTGGACCTGCCCACCAGAAAGACAAGATCCAGGCTCATCCACCAGAACACAGGCACTAGTCCCCTCCACCAGGAAGCCTACACAACCCACTGAACCAACTTTAGCCACTGGAGACAGACACCAAAAACAATGGGAACTATGAACCTGCAGCCTGCAAAAAGGAGACCCCAAACACAGTAAGATAAGCAAAATGAGAAGACAGAAAAAAACACAGCAGATGAAGGAGCAAGATAAAAACCCACCAGACCTAACAAATGAAGAGGAAATAGGCAGTCTACCTGAAAAAGAATTCAGAATAATGATAGTAAAGATGGAGCTAGAATAGACAAAATGGAAGAAACATTTAACAAGGACCTAGAAGAACTAAATATTAAACAAGCAACGATGAACAACACAATAAATGAAATTAAAAATACTCTAGATGGGATCAATAGCAGAATAACTGAGGCAGAAGAACGGATAAGTGTCCTGGAAGATAAAATAGTGGAAATAACTACTGCAGACCAGAATAAAGAAAAAAGAATGAAAAGACCTGAGGACAGTCTCAGAGACCTCTGGGACAACAATAAATGCACCAACATTCGAATTATAGGGGTTCCAGAAGAAGAGAAAAAGAAAGGGACTGAGAAAAATATTTGAAGAGATTATGGTGGAAAACTTCCCCAATATGGGAAAGGAAATAGTTAATCAAGTCCAGGAAGCACAGAGAGTCCCATACAGGATAAATCCAAGGAGAAATACGCCAAGACACATATTAATCAAACTGTCAAAAATTAAATACAAAGAAAACATATTAAAAGCAGCAAGGGAAAAACAACAAATAACACACAAGGGAATCCCCATAAGGTTAACAGCTGATCTTTCAGCAGAAACTCTGCAAGCCAGAAGGGACTGGAAGGACATATTTATTTATTTATTTATTTATATTTTTTTGCGGTACGTGGGCCTCTCACTGTTGTGGCCTCTCCCGTTGCAGAGCACAGGCTCCGGACTAGCAGGCTCAGCAGGCATGGCTCACGGGCCTAGCCGCTCCGCAGCATGTGGGATCTTCCCGGACCAGGGCACGAACCCGTGTCCCCTGCATCAGCAGGCGGACTCTCAACCACTGCACCACCAGGGAAGCCCTGGAAGAACATATTTATAGTGATGAAGGAGAAGAACCTGCAACCAAGATTACTCTACCCAGCAAGGATCTCATTCAGATTTGATGGAGAAATTAAAACCTTTACAGACAAGCAAAAGCTGAGAGAGTTCAGCACCACCAAACCAGCTTTACAACAAATGCTAAAGGAACTTCTCTAGGCAAGAAACACAAGAGAAGGAAAAGACCTACAATAACGAGCCCAAAACAATTAAGAAAATGGGAATAGGAACATACATATCGATAATTACCTTAAATGTAAATGGATTAAATGCTCCCACCAAAAGACACAGATTGGCTGAATGGATACAAAAACAAGACCCATATATATGCTGTCTACAAGAGACCCACTTCAGACCTAGAGACACATACAGACTGAAAGTAAGGGGATGGAAAAAGATATTCCATGCAAATGGAAACCAAAATAAAGTTGGAGGAGCAATTCTCATATCAGACAAAATAGACTTTAAAATAAAGACTATTAAAAGAGACAAAGAAGGACACTACATAATGATCAAGGGATCGATCCAAAAAGAAGATATAACAATTGTAAATATTTATGCACCCAACATAGGAGCACCTCAATACATAAGGCAAATACAGCCATAAAAGGGGAAATCGACAGTAACACATTCATAGTAGGGGACTTTAACACCCCACTTTCACCAATGGACAGATGATCCAAAATGAAAATAAATAAGGAAACACAAGAAATGAAAAAGAAGTAACAACTGACATGGCAGAAATACAAAAGATCATGAGAAATTACTACAAGCAACTCTATGCCAATAAAATGGACACCTGGAAGAAATGGACAAATTCTTACAAACGCACATCCTGCCAAGACTGAATCAGGAAGAAATAGAAAATATGAACAGACCAATCACAAGCACTGAAATTGAAACTGTGATTAAAAATCTTCCAACAAACAAAAGCCCAGGACCAGATGGGTTCACAGGCGAATTCTATCAAAAATTTAGAGAAGAGCTAACACCTATCCTTCTCAAACTCTTCCAAAATATAGCAGAAGGAAGAAAACTCCCAAACTCATTCTATGAAGCCACCATTACCTTGATACCAAAACCAGACAAGGATGTCACAAAGAAAGAAAACTACAGGCCAATATCACTGATGAACATAGATGAAAAAATCCTCAACAAAATACTAGCAAACAGAATCCAGCAGCACATTAAAAGGATCATACACCATGATCAAGTGGGGTTTATTCCAGGAATGCAAGGATTCTTCAATATAGGCAAATCAGTCAACGTGACATACCATATTAACAAATTGAAGGAGAAAAACCATATGATCATCTCAATAGATGCAGAGAAAGCTTTTGACAAAATTCAACACCCATTTATGAT